GAACTTTTGGTCTCCAGAGGATTTACTGAATTTTGGGATTGAGTGTGCAGACTCTGACAAACATAATTGTATTTCCAAACTTATCTTTCCAGAGGGTCAAAATTGGAAGAGTGGGTCACAAGGTGCTAGGAGGGAAAGAATTCACCATTAATGAAGATAAAATTGAGTGGCACGGGAGTTTTAACCAGGTGTAGATTTTTGGATTAAGGAGATGAAACTTCGGTATCAAAGTTTTGCCTAATCCTTCACTACAATAAGGCTTTCTGATAAGCATAGTGCTATGCATCACATTCAGAAATTTGAGATGTATACAATAACATCATTTCTCAACGTATTTGCCAACACGGATATGATTTCAGAGAAACCAAAATATTTTTAATCATGCCAAGTGAAACTTGTCCAATTTATGAGAACATTAAGTCAAAGTTATTTATTTATAACTTGCAGCAGATCAATTTTTCACCATCCCGTTTCTGAAATTCTCCACCAAATTTGCAGACTGAGTAATGGGTGTGGGGTTATCACTCCAGAGAAAGGAGACATTCTCCAACATTTTCTCAAGGATAGGATTCTCACATAGGATTCAACATAGCACCATTGCTAAAAACAAGTCCAGTGGGAAAATTTCCCTTCCTGAAGTCTTCTTTTTGGATTCCATGAAAGCATAAGAAGCCAGGGAGGCTTTAGTGCTCTGGAAAGTTAGCTGTGTAATAAAAAAGGTGATTCACAGACCTTCTTTTTATAGCTGACAGAGTTTGAGGGCACCACTTCCATCCATGACAATTTAGCTGAAAGTCACCTCTTCCTTGAAAGGACTGATATAGCAGATTTTCTTTCATCCAGTTGAATTACAATGGGTGAAAAAAGTGCAGGAGATGTTCTCTTTGTTCCTGTGTATTTTCTCCCCTAATTACAAGGTTCTATTCCAACACTTGATTACAAAAAATATACTTGAGTGGAAGACTCTTTGTGCAGTAGAGGAAAGCCGGTTGGTGTAATGGTTAAGGTTGGTCTAGGAGTGGGGAGACTCATATTCAAGTCCACCTCCAACTATGGAAACTCCCTGGGTGCTTTTGAGCCAATGACTCTGTCAACTCTTAAGATTGCTCTTGCATAGATAAAAATGTAGGGAGATTCTTAAGTAAGCTGTCTTCAGAAAAGGCAAAATTTAACTTAATAAACTTAATTAATAAAGAAACAATAAATACAAGCTCCAATTCAGAAATTAAAGTTAAGCACCATTAGTGGAATGTCTGAATCAAATCATCTTTCCAAACCAGATGGATTGTTTGGAGCATGTCTTCAAATCAAATTTGATGTGTTCATAGCCATGTGATATTTCAGAAGGCTTTTTATATGCACAAAAGCTCTCTCCCTGCCCCAAATTGATTTGGGAAAAAACCTCAAATCCAGTTGATTGTAAGGTTTACCCCGTTCAGCTCCAAAGAAACTCTCATGACATGCAAGTTCAGCAAAGAAGTTTACTAGAGTGTAACATAAGTAGGTACAGACAAAGCCAGGGTTAGCTTGGCATAGCTTACATGGTGTTTTATAGTTTCCCCATTCCCATGCTTTTCCCCATTGCCTAGTTACTGATTAACCACAGTAATCCTCCCTCGCCCAAATGGCAGATTCAGTCTGGTTCTTTTGTCTTCTTGATTGCCATCTATTGGTTGTGTGGTTGTTGCCTTTGTTGGGTTTTCCTGTGGCGTGTAAAGCCAGGAGTTCTCAATCGTGCGCTGATTGCTGCTCTTCCGAGCCACTGCACTTCCCTTTGTCTGCAGCACTCGAAGGAAGCCGGCAATGATACAATGTATCTGCTCTCGGCTGGTGTTAACCGCCACCACCTGTCAGCAATCAGTTCGCAGTTTGGCTAACTTCCCCTTTTTCGCTGCTAGCACCCGGGGCAATGAAATTGACTAGGCGAAGCTGAGCAGTGGCATTTGCCGTGCCATGCCATACCGGCTGAATCTGACATTGATCCCAATCCATCTTCAAATGGAAGCATTGCATGATATTTTTGGAAGAATATGTCTTGTTTCAAAATAGAATCTATTATTCTCAATTTATTTTATTATCCTCAATTTCTCTTTTACGTTTATGGCTAAGGTGGCTCCCCTTTCTGTGTGCAGTGATTCCTGCCAACCCGGTGAACAAAAAATAAAGAAGGAAGGAGCCATGTTTTGCTGCTATGACTGTGCTCCATGTGCAGAAGGAAAGATTTCAAACCAAACGGGTATGTAATAGGGATGGGCAGAACTTTGAAAGGTTCTGATTTGTTTTGATTTGTTTCAATCAGGCCATCTAAATGTATGAAGAAGTTAGAAAGAGCAATAACCTTCCTTGAACTTTTATTTCCTCCTCTAGATATGAATGATTGCCTTGAATGTCCAGAAGATCAATTATCCTCGCAAAGAACAAGACGGATGTATGCTCAAAATGATGAGCTTTCTGGCATTTGAAGAATCTTTAGGGGTCATTTTAGCCTCATTTGCTCTTTGCTTGTCACTCCTCACAGCCTGAATGCTTGGACTCTTTATTAAGCATAGACATACACCCATAGTCAAAACAAATAACCAGGATCTCACTTATATTCTTCTCATCTCCCTCCTACTCTGCTGCCTCTCTTCTTTGCTATTTCTTGGACAACCAGGAAAAGTGACCTGCTTTCTGCAACAATCTACCTTTGGCATCATCTTTTCAATGGCTGTTTCTTCTGTGTTGGCCAAAACCATCACTGTGGTTGTAGCTTTCATGGCCACCAAACCAGGATCTAAGATGAGGAAATGGGTAGGGAAAAGACTGGCATTCTCCATGGTCTTTTCTTGCTCTTTTATCCAAGTAAGCATTTGTGCCTTCTGGCTAGGAATGTCTCCCCCATTTCCAGATTTGGATATACAGTCAGAGGCAGTGGAGATCTTAGCAAAGTGCAGTGAAGGTTCTCCCATCATGTTTTACCTTGTCTTGGGCTACATGGGACTTCTATCCATCATCAGCCTCATAGTGGCCTTCTAGCGAGGAAGTTGCCAGACACATTCAACGAAGCCAAGTTCATCACCTTCAGCATGCTGACATTTTGCAGTGTCTGGCTGTGTTTTGTCCCAACGTACCTGAGCACCAAGGGGAAATACATGGTGGCTGTGGAGGTCTTCTCCATCTTAGCCTCCAGTGCTGGCTTGCTTGGCTGTATCTTTTCTCCCAAATGCTACATTATTGTGCTGAGGCCTGAAATGAACAAAAAAGAGCATCTAAGTAGAAAGAATTGCATTTCTCTCTCCCTTAATTCCTAGAGATCCCAGGGAGAAATAATTTCTGGAGGAGCGTAAGCTGGCGATGATGCTTGGCACAAGACATATACTAATTAAGTAGGAAATAAGGGGCTTTCAGTTTAGTTTTTAATTCGGCCACAGAATTGGGCACAATGGAAAATAAATTGTGAATGATCTTCCAGAGGTACTTTTATATTGAAGGGTATGCTAAATACCAGGAGCACCTGCCAGGAGGTCAAAAAAGGCAAGGTCATGACTGCAACCACAGGATAGAAGTGTTGAGAGTAAGGAATATGACCTTGTGGCAGACATACAGGAACTTTAGGCAAGGCAGGAAAAGTAAGCCTTACAGGCACACTTAAAACTGTGAGGTTAAAGACTCTGAGACCCAGACCCTGACCGCTAAGCACAAGGATATAGCATAATCTTTGTCAGTTGAATAAAACTGTGACAATTTCTCTGAACTTCTGCCTAAAATCTCTTTATTCCTTGATAGCACTGCAGGTTTTTAAAATGGAAACTTCCACTCTAACCATGTTTCTCTTTGGATGCATAAATTGTTATTTGAGTGTAGAACTCAAGTTCCTTCTCTTTTGTATATGCATGGGACAGCATGATGCCCATCAAAAGGGGTGGGGCTTGCTTTGAGAGAGAAATGCTGTGTTCCTTCTGATTGACTGCCAGATGTCGCTGCACATTAGGATTGGTACAAACCATAGTTTCCTCAAGCCATGTCTAGAAATATCCTGATAAATTACCCAGAATGCTGCAGGTGAATTACAGGTGAACAGGTGGCTACGGTTACCTTGTTTTGACAACTTGCTTAACAGGACAACAGTACAGGAACCAGAATGATTCTACTTCATCATGAATGTATGTACATAAAAGGACTTGGCTTTGCAAAGTATATATGTGTGCATGTGTGTGTGTGTGCATACACACACACACAAGTATGTACAGGTAGTCTTTGCTTACTGACTGCTTCATTTAATGTCCATCTGAAGTAACAATGGTGTAAAAAAAATAGCTTTGCAACCAATCCTCGCATTTACAACCATCGCAGTGTCCTGCAGTCATGTGATTGCCACTTGTGTGCTTTGCAACTGGCTTGCAACAAGCAGAGTTGATAGAAAAGGCAGAAGTAAAATTGTAAGTTGCAGTCACTTGATGTTTTACTTAGTGACCATGGCACTTAGTGATGGAGGTGCCGGTCCCAATTGTGGTTGCTAAATGAGGACTAGCTCTGTGTGTGTGTGTGTGTGTGTATACACAAACACACATGTATACATAGATACACATACATACATACACATTTTAAAGGATAACTATAACAAGGATTACACGTCCATTGGAGTTGGGTGTCTAATGCATTTAAATCAGTGATTCTCAACCTTTTTGAAGCTGCTGCCCCCCTAAGGAGCGGAAAATTTTTCAACGCCACCCTTTGTGAAAATCCTGTAATTTAGGGTATGGGTTACTGAATTATAAAAGGCAAAAATTTTAAGTAATTTTTTTCAGTAGACTTACACACCAC